AAGCTCCACAAACAACACAACAACAACAACAACAACTCCCATTTCCTTTCCTCATGCCAAACCACACAAAACGACCACCACAGCCGCAACAGCTCCTTCACGCCAACCAATTACCCAGCAGCCAGTGCCCCTCAATTACCCGAACAACCCATCACAAATCAGTTTCGGACCACTATGGTTTCGTGGAATACCATGGGAAAGAGAAGGAAGATTCACAATGGGAAAGAGAAAGGAAGGTTAAGTGGCATATATTATGATGTATTCTCATTGTAGTGGGATTTTGCCCGTCTCCAACCACAATGTTTATCATGATGTTTCTGCTCTGGACTTACCTGTAGAACATTGATAAATTATAATGCAGGAAAAAGATAGTGTGTTGGCTGATTAAGGGGTACTCACCATAATAGTTATCAGAGTTAAATAAATGCAATGCTTTTTTTTATATATAATTTTTGGATGGAAGAGTGCATTTATCTTAATAAGATAAATCAGTAGTATATAATAATGATTCAGGATTCAGCTTGGGAATATAAGCTCTTTTGGATTTAATAATTTCTTTGAATTATTAGTTGGGATTATTAGTTAAAATTAAATAGAGAAGAAATCTAAATGGTGTGTTGTTTCCACAGGGGGGACACTCTGAAATTGTTATCTCTATCCCTTTTTTCAATAGTTTATTTCTTTGTGATCTCTTTGCCTTCTTATACCGTTCATGGTGTAATTCTATTTTTGAACCCTGAAAGAACGAGTGAAAGAGAGGGAGAGAACGTGAAGAGAAGTACCTAAAAAGAAGAAAACAATTATCGGAGAGAGGTTTGTGAGTAGTCGAGGGAATTGTTGTCAGAAACTCCCTTTACATTCCTCGGTAAACAAGGCCTGCAATCCTCTGAAATGTATCTATTCACTGAATAGTATTAGAAGGCATGTTCAGCAAGCAGAAAGCTCAACTGTTTTGATGTGTGGTTTAAGATATATACTTGGCAAACTGAACAAGTGGGAAGATGAGAAGAAACAGGAGATATATTACATAAAACTTCCCAAATCTACATTGACAACAATGACAAGGGCCACCTTCCTTGTCAGATCTAAATGCCATTATGGCCACTTCTGTTTAGATTTAACTCCTGCTACATTTGGTACTCAACTCACTGAGTTTGATGCTTGTTTATCATGTCTTTGCAAATACCCAGCCGGATGCGAAGCATAAGGTGACAGTGAAAAGGAACCCAGTCATAATTCCTACTCCAAATTGCAAACCGATTATAGTCATTTCTTCATCAGCCAGCTGAACATCATGAGGAGCCTGCTGAGGCTGAAAAGGAGTAAGCTGTTGTCCACGCAGACCTTTGTTTCCCTCAAAGCTTGAAGGTGGAAATGTCAGGAACTGGCCTCCTGTAGGGATATCTCCTTGCAATTGATTGTATGCAATGCTGAACTTCGACAGAAAACTGAGCTTTTCCAGTGAGAGAGGTATTTCTCCTGATAAATCATTATAGGATAAGTCCAAAACTTCCAAGTTTGTCATGCCTGAGAAACTATCGGGAATGGTTGCTGAGAGATGATTTTCTTTCAGCTTCAGAACGTGGAGTTCTTTCAAATTTCCAAAACCTGGCCATAAGGGTCCTGTGAGCTTATTGTAACTCAAGTCCAAAGTTGGTCGAAAGCCCCAAATACCTTTATACTTGAGTTTTGCACCATCTGCTACGAACGAGAAAAGTGGGAAGCCTAAAGAAAGTCCTTCTGATGATAATTTCATGTTGATCAGGCCCTGTAGCTCTGTCAAGCTCTCAGGTATTTCACCAGTGAAAGAATTGTTCGACAGATCCATGTAAAAGAGATACTTGAACTCGTGGAACCAGAAGGGAATAGTTCCACACAATCTATTCCATGACAAATCCAAAAGTTGCAACAACTTGCTGCCACTCAGCCATGTTGGAATGGAACCCGTAAGTTCACAATAAGGAATAGCAAGTGCCCTGAGGTTCCTGAAGTGAAAATTCACATTTCTGGGCATTTGTTCACCGTGAAAGTTAAAACTAAGGAACAGTGAAGTTAAGTTTCTGCAATGTTGTAGAATTGCTAGGGCTGATGATATGTTAACAAGGCTGTTGTTTGAGAGTGAGAGGGATCTGAGGGCTTGGAGATTCTTGAATGCAAAAGGAACTTCACCACCAAGGTTATTACGAGCAAGATTCAGATTGGTCAGTCTCTGGCAAGAGGATATAACATCAGGCAGCGGACCATGTAAATTATTAGAACCAAGATCGAGAGAGGTGAGACGAACCATTGCAGAACAATTGAGATTGATTGGACCATTAAGGGTGTTGTTGTTCAAATTCAGAATTAAAATATATGGAGAATTTACCAATGACATGGGCAAATGGCCACTGAAGTTGTTTGAGCTGGCAAAGAAATTCTCAAGCTTAAGCCTCTCAAAAACATCTGGAAGAATTCCAGAAAACTTATTGGAGGAGATATCCAATTCCACAAGGTTTGAAAGTTTACCAATCTCATCATTTAGTGGCCCTGAAACTAAATTATGCTGAAGGTGCAATATACGAAGATTTTGCAGTTGCCAGAGGCTTTTGGGGAGATTTCCTGAGAGGTGATTGTCATTAAGAAAGAGTTGCTGAAGAGAAGAACACCTTCCAAAGTTTGCTGGAACTTCACCAGTGAAATAGTTGTTTCCAAGATTGAGCGTGTGAATATATGATGAGCTCTCACAAAGTGCTGCATCGAGAGAACCATTAAAATTGTTCCTTGAAATGTCAACATACCTGATCGAGGATAAATTGCTACCTCCTGGTAATGGACCGACGAGATCATTATCGCTCGAGTCAATGATCTCAAGATTCTGCAGGTGGAGTAATCTGGCTGGAAGGTATCCATGAAGGAAATTCTGAGAGAGGTTCAGTATACTCAGCTGATCCAAACCTGCCAAGGACTCGCTAATTATTCCTTTGAGTCTTTTGCTCCCAAGTTCTAACCTGACTACCCTTTTACTCGAAACAGAGGAATTGTCACAGGTGACTCCTATCCAAGTGCAACAATTTGAGTCTGACGTATTCCAATGAAGCCCATCGTCTATGGAACTGGAGAAACTAGTTAAGGATCTAACATCATTTGAATTGCATATGAAATTCTCAGATCTTGTGAAGGGAGCCTTGAAACTGATTGTCAACAAGATGAAGGTGAAACGAAGGTACGAGTATTGCATTTTTCACCAAGTATCAAAGAAAAGAAAACAGTGAAGTGAAGATATGGTGTCTAAAACGGAATAGTTTAAGCATAAGGGCATGATTGTTTTCCTTTTCCTTTTACTCCTTCCATTGCTTTTGCAGTAGAGTCTTTATCCTTCCATGTCATGTATGTGTTTTCTATGCCTGACTTAGAGCCCAGTTTAGAAGTCATCAAGTGAATTACTTCCAGCTTGACTTTTTACACTTTTGTCTTGAGAAAGAAAAATATTTTTGAACGGTCCATTTCATGGCTGCTTCTGTAGTTTAGACTTTTCAAGGATAGTTTGTGTACGTTGTAAAAACTGCTGTTCAAACTAAAAAGGCATAAAGAATTATGCTTTTCAGCTTGAAACGCGTTTTATCTTCCAATGGATGAAGCTGTCCATTCTGGAACTCTTGCATTTGTACTTTAAAACTGAAACATATAAATATCCAATTTGCATGGTCATTAGTTTAACAGGGTCACTGGAAAAGTACGGGGAAATCTGACAGGTAATGTTTTGATATTTTTTTATTGGAGGCTAAATACACTAATACAATATTTAACGTAGTTTGACAAACAGTCTAAATTCATGGGAGAAGCCATTTTATTATATAGAAAAAAATAAAATTTACAACAATAGAGGAGAAGGAATTATCCATTTTTTTAACTTTCAATCTCGCTTTTTTCTCTCTTTACAGTGCTACAATGGCAGCTACTGCTTGTTGTTCTTAGCAGCACACTCTCTCCTACATTTCTCATCTTTTTAGCTCTACTACCTCTCTTTCATTTTGCTCTCTCACGTATGCCTCTATTTATAGGCATTCAATGCAGCTCTTCTTGCTCTTTTATCAATAATGGTGGTCACCAACTCCAGCTCATCTCCAACAATGTTAGCTGCACCTAACAGCCTTCTTTGACAATGGCAATGACAGTCATCCTCTTCTAGAAGATTGGTTGCAGATGCTGCCACATAAATGGCAATATCCTAACAATCATTCCTTTTGCCATTTATATGGGTAATTGTCCTGTTGCTTCTTCAACATATGCTTGCATTCTGCAGCTCTTCTAAGCTTACCATTCCGAGAGCATATATGACCAAGTTTACAGATACTTGCCAAACCTTTCAATCATCAGAGTCATCCAAGCACTCCTTTGCTCACTTCAAAGAATCACTTCAACTAGATGGTTTGTCACATCTCATCTGAAGAGTGTTAACGTTTATCTTTGGAACAATATTCCCCTTCAAGTATATCAACCATGCTTGACCCGAAATGATTTATCAAGCCTCACACTAAGGCTTACAACACCCCCTCAAATGAATATTCCTAAGTGCAACAATCATTGAGTATTTTAATCTGATCACGAGCTCACCACTCTTTTAAGAGTCTACTTATTTCGAAGTCACGTTTGCTCTCTATTCCACCCTAGAAACCACGCCTTACTTCTCCATGAGTCTCCCGCTCTTAGTCTCAAGAGTCCAGGTAGCTCTCCACCTTTAACCATGGAGACAACCCATTAAAGGTTGATCCATATTTGTCTTTATACTCTAAGTATTACAATGTCATTACTGAACTCACCATCTTGACAAGAGTCAACTTGTTCCTGGAACCTGTGCATGCCTTCTACTTCTTCATAGTAGTTGCGTCTTAATGCTCCACAAGTCATCCACTTATTGTCCAACGCAAATGTTTTTTAGCTTATTGATCTTTAGCATGGGGGCAATATCCATGAAAGTCAATCCAGCATTTGTCTCCATACTCTTTATAGCTTCTTCATTGGCTATCCATTTGTCCACTCATATCTAGCCATCACATCGGCTCTGGGACATTCTGTAATTGGGGCTTCTATCATGGCCCTCACACCTTCTCCTAAGGTGTTTCCGCTCATCATCATGCGGCGGTCTAATCTGGGGCACCTATCACAGTCCTCACACATTCTCTGAGGTGTCTTCGTCTTTCATAGGCGGTCGCATCCTCCTTCAGTTAGGATGCTTCAAAGTGGCTCTAGAAGTCTCTAACACCATGTGCACTATAGGAGATCACTATTACTAATTACATAAAAAGAGAAAATTATAGTATACTCCTCGCAATCCTTCACCTCGATTTCTGTTTGGAGCTTTTGCGTCTTTCTACTTGACAACTCCACTCACACCAACTTTCATTGATGTCTTTACCTTTCATCATAAGCGGTCGTCTTTTATTATAGGCTTTTGCACCCTCTCAATTAGGTGCATCTGCAACAGCTCATCTTTCCATCCTTGCATGCATTGGAAAGGTCCTTGCTTATTGCCTTTATCAAGAGCACAAGAGACTTCCTGTTATACATCCTTCACACAGTCTTTGCTCTGAACTTCATCTAGGAACTCTTCTTCTCCTTGCACCTTTTGTCTCATTACAGTACCTCGTTGGATCCTCCGGGTACTCCTGCACAATCTCTGTGTTCCCTCGTGCAATTTTTGTTCTCCATATTTCTTCCTATTTTTTGCTTTTATGTTTGACAGTAGTTCATCCTGTCACAACACCTGTCCAAGTCAAAATAGGGTGTCAATCTTTATCCCTTTGCTGAATTTCTTTTTCATCATCAAGGTCTTCATCAATTCTCCCTTCGAGAAATTATAGTCACTGAATCTAACTTTGGAGAAATCACAACTCCATCAGAACCTTGAACATACGGAACCCAACTATTCCCTTGTGTCATCATCCTACTAGTCTTCAACCGTTTTATTACAAATTGTCACATATACAAAAATAGTATCTTATGGATAATCATTCCACTAAGCAAGTTCTTAGGAAAGATTGCAGGGGTCACAACGGTCCCACTTAAAACCCAATCTAACTGGAACTTCTTAGGCCATATTTATCCATCGTATTGTCTTTCCGTATATAAACTATTTGCTAGCTTTGTCGCGACTTTCCTTTACAAGTGATCTAGAGTATCCTGGTTTTATACTTGATTTCTTAACATCTGGCGAGACTACTAGTGTTTAGATTCGTCAAGATTGGTCTTCATCAAATTTCATTTTCCACCTCAAATTGTCCACATGATCGGGTGTTCAGAGTGTCCCAATTTTTCCTTCCCTCAAGGCAATTAAAATTTTCCCACATAACAGTTTAGCACCTGTAATTAGGCAAACATGTGCGATTTCTTCTTCTTCATTTTCATCGACCACCATAATGACCATCAGATGCCTCTTGAATGGGCAATCTCTCTTTAATAATTCATCACTATCATTTCTGGTCTCAATCTCAATGATCAAAATGTACCATTGCATCCGGAATGATCAAATTAGTTGGAAACAAGTCTGAAATCATCCAAATCGCACTTCAAACAGCTAAGATTTGATCAAAACAATTTTGGCCTGATAAACGACTCAGATTCAATCTCAGAACCGGTTGCATGAATTTTTTGCTACATTGAATTCTATCCCTCGGCTCGCGGCTCGGCTCAGCTCGACTCATTCTCAGCTCGTGATTGGTGATGTGGCATGTGGGGGGCCCTATGATGATGTGGCACCTGACTAGGCGCTTACATGGCATGCCTACTGTGCATCCTGACATCACAACTACACCATGCTGACATCATCATTTGACATGTATACTGTGCATGTTGACATCACAACTATATCATATTGACATCATCATTTGGTTATGTCATGTTGACATCATTAATATCTGGGTCAGTCATATGGGTTGGGTCTACTGGTATTCGGGTCGAGTTAGCCCATCTGGGTGAAGAAGATGCGTGGGGCGCATCTGTACACATGGACTGCCACCTCATCGGAGTGTAGGCATGTCTGACGTTCGTTTTCGACACTGTTTTTACTAGTGACTTCGTCTTGGCCTCCTCTACACAGTGGTATTGTCAAAACACCATTTTGAGAACTTTTATTTTGAGTAAAAATCAAACACCACTTTAAACTAAATGCTCTGATACTAATTGTTGAGAAATCCGACAGGTGATGTTTTGATATTTGTCTATTGGAGGCTAAGTACACTAACATAATATTTAACATGGTTCGGCAAACAACCTACATCTACAAGAGAAACCATTTTATTATATTGGGAGAAAACAAGATTTACAACAATAAAAGAAGAGGAATCATCCACTCTTTTAACTCTCAACCTCACTCTTTTCTCTCTTTGCAGTGCTGCAATGGTAGCTACTGCTTGTTGTTTTTGGCAGCATACTCTCCTACATTTATCACCTCTTTGGCTCTACTACCTTTCTCTCATTTTGCTCTTTTACGTATGCTTTTATTTATAGGTATTTATGACAGCTTTTTTTGCTTTTTTATCAACTTTTTTTTAACAATATTAATTACACCTAGCAACCTTCTTTGATAATGACAATGACAACCATCCTTTTCTAGAAAATTGGTTGAAGATGCTGCCACATAAGTACAATATCCTAATAAAAAGCACCTTGGAGTGAGAAGCAATTATTTCCCATAGTCACTGAAAACTTCAACAATCTCCTATAATGCCAATCTGAGATTATCCCTCTCTTTCTCTGCTTCTCTAAAAATTCCAATATGGGATTTGCCCTTTTGTAATGGTCAGACTCAGCAGTAAAAAAAAAAGCAAAGTCCAGTTGAGGACATTGGCAGATCTCGTGGAACAAACATAGAATTATTCGACAATGGTGATGAGCAATAACGTGTTGCCAAATATCAGACAGAAAGTAGGAAAAACAAAATTAATAAAAGGATTGATACAGAAGTTTCTGCAACTTTGATTCGCTAAAAAATAGTTGAATGTTTCAGTCAGCATTATTATTTTCATAATGCTATGCATGTGAAACTAATAGAGAAATCCAAGATAAAAAAAAAATATATATATATTTTCAAAGCTATAGGCTCAGCTGTTTCTCCAGGTCAGGATATCATTTCAGAAGGAGCCCCAGCAGTTACTTACAGTGCAAAAGAAAATCAGTAGAGGCCTAGAAATTTCCACCAGAAAGTTCCAGTAACTCCCCAGATGATGGCATTAATAAGGGCCATCACAAAGCCGAGCTTGAACACGTCAGGAAGGTCCATATAACCAGCTGTTCCAAAAAGCATTAAAACACTATCAGATGCTATGCTAACGACTCGACGCCGATAATTTAGGACAGAATTACTTCTCAGTGCGATCACAACAGATAGATCCCTGTCATGGAAAACCCTAAAAACAGAACAACTAGAAATGCTAGCGTGGAGTTTCATAGATTGTCAATGAAAATAAAGTTCATGAAGCGAGATTCAAAGCAGAAATGCTTCACAACTGTTTGCATAATTTGGGGGAGCAGATCCGTACCTCCATAGTATACAGCAGATTGACCGCTGCTATAATGGGTAAGAGCACCGAAAAGATTTGTATTGTAAGCTAAAGCCAAAGCTGCCAATGTAGCGGGCACCCCAGCTGCCAAATGCATTGCGAGAAATGCAGAGTATAAAGCACCAACATGACCAATTTGACCAGCAAATAGGTAATGGATAAAGAAGTAAGATGCCTGAAGAACCCCAAACGCAGCAGGCCAGCTCAAAGAGAGAGATTGAAGGTTCTTGGATACACAACCAGACATCCAGGATATAACACCGAGGTTTGTTAATTGGCTCGCCATTCCCACTAGAACTGCAAACCAAGCCAAGGTATCCCATGCCGATTTTTCACTTAAGCAGTCATCCCAATCAAGAACTCCCAGCAGAAGCAGTATTGATAAGCCAATCATTGCAGCGACAACGCTTGGTATTCCGATAGCATCTCTGCAAACAAACCATCCAATATAGAATCCAAAACCATAACACATTTCAGAAAGAAAGCATTAAAATATCGACAGTGAACATAATAATGTTTTAGGATTGAACGGCATGCCATTTTCTCTTTTAATAAAATACAGTGATTAATAGATTATTAGTATGCACTGTACTGCGGTCACATCAATTTTTTTATAAAATAATATTCTAGCTTTGCTAATATATTTTTTAATTATGGATTCAATATATATATTAGATATCTATTTTAAATATTGATGTAGCAATATATTAAATATTATTTTTTAATTATTAAAAAATAATATTTGGATGAATTAACTTATTAAATTTATAATTTTATAATCTTGATTACGAGATCATGGCAACTTTATAAAAATTAAATTAAAATAAAATATAAAAATTTAAAATTAAATTAAAATAAATTATAAAAATTTATTCTTAATTAACTTAATATTAAAAAATAAAAATAAAAAAAATTATTTAAGTCGGTTTGAATTAATTTATCAAACCTGCAATTACAGTTATAAAAATTTTTAAAAAATAAATAAATAAATTATAAAATGTAATTTCAGAACGATTTTTGTTGAAAATAATCAATTACTAAAAGCACATTCAACTATCATCTTATTCCACGGAAATGACCAGTTAACAATTATGACCTAGTCGTTTTAAGACAAAGTTAGCTAGTATAAGAACATCTAAAGTATAAAATGAGAAAACCACTCTGCACATTCAACCTTTGTTTGGGCTGGGGACTGGGGAGGAGGGAAGATTATCATTGGGTGCCAAGGAATTAAAGAGGAAAAAGATAAACAGACTCATACTTATTACAAGTGGTATTCACGCTGGTATAACTATTCCTGGCATAATGATCAATTTATAATCATTCGAATGCCCAGAAAGCTGCAGCAGATCATAACAAATCAACTATATGGCACTCTGTTCTTGCGGACCTTAAGCCTGCTGATGCAACCTACTCAATCATGACAACATCCACACGACCAAAAGTCCAGGGTAAACATCTGGGTTCAGAAATCCACAACAGGAACAAACAATTCGAAGTTCTAAGGAAATTCTGATCTCTCCACATTTTTTTTCTATTAATTTACGCTGATGTGTCAGCTGTAATCTATGCTTTGAGCATGGAGATCCTGTTCCAGTTACATTTAAAAAGTTAATAAAATCTGAGGTGTTATGAGATAAATGACTTACCCAAATACCCACAAAGAAACTGCAAGAAGCATTGTACCAACCATGGTCCATTCATTTTTTGTGACAGAACCCATAGTCTCCAGTTTCTTTGCAGCCACTGCAGGGGCATCTGGAGTGTCTTTGGTTTCAGGAGGGTAGAGCTTATATAAGACGAGTGGAGTTACTAGAAGAGAAATCAATGCTGGCAAGCTAGCAGCCTTCAACCAAGAAATCCAAGGGTTTGGAATCATCACCCCAAGTTCCTCGGCTAATTTAAAAGATAGCAAATTTTGAGCTGCCGCTGTTAGAAAAAGAGAGCTGGAGCTGCCAGCACACTGGACAACATTGCAAAAGAGTGAAGCTTTAGGTAACAGACATGAGAATATAAAAAAAGAGAGCTATAATTTAAGAGCTATTAGAAACCATTGGCATGCCATAGAGGAAAACAAAGCCGTGCTTTTAGTTGATAACATGGAACAGAGATGAAAGGGTTTTGAAAGCTAACAATCCGTTCAAAACTGATGCAGGAACAGACTGCCCGTTGCTCCCAAAAACCTAGACAAATGGTAGAGGGAAATTTATTCCTATGTCCACATGTTCATAGCATCTCAATTCGTATACCCAATGGTCCTTCATGCGTGGGTCCCTTGCATGGACCACCGCCATCGTGTGTCCCACAACTTGGATTTCTGCTCCAAGAGAGAGAGGATGCCCTCCCATCATTCACCCCTGTAAAGGAATTGATTGAGCCTGATACCTCCTGGCTCGCTCTGAAACTAACTAATGTAGGAACAAAATATCAGTTGCTCCCAAGAGACTAGACTGACGGTAGCGAGTGAATTTATTCCTATATCCACTAAATCATGGCATCCCAGTTCATAAAACCAATGGACCTTTGTTTGCAGCTCACCCCAGCATTTGTGCAGCATCCTCATTGTGGGCCCCACCACTAGGCTTTCCACCACAAGAAATAGAGGAAGCCCCTGCATCAAAAACCTTATGCGGGACCTCTTATGAACTCTCCAGATAATAATAATCAGGTGAAGAACTGAGGAACCCAACTAGTATACATTTCCCTTCACGATTAAGCCTGCACATTCTCTTACGAGATGCCACCTAGACATGCCGTAAAGCCTCGTCAGGATGGTGGCAAGACATTTACATCAGCCTAATTAGCAATTCACTACAGTTCAACCAAAAAAAGGCACTTTCCCATGGATAAGCAATTCAACCACCCATTTCTTTCTGACGTATTGATGAATCTTCTAAATTCATGATGAAGAAAAAGAGCTCATCAACTAGAAAAATCCGCAAACAAATTATCATTCTTTTGAGCAACAACGTCCTGGACATTTAATCCCTCCAGTTGAAAAGGGAAAATAAACAACCTCACAAACACAAATGACATTACAAATTGCACTGTTCCATCCACAACAGAAAAAGTAACCGCACCTACACATCCACACAAATTGCAAAACCAAGAAGGAATGATACAAAACCAGGTTACAAAGTGTAAAGAGAAAATAACCTGCATTTGCGACTGGATTAAATAAGAACCGAGCATTGTCGAAGAGGAATCGCCAGGCTTACTCCCTGCTGACAATGACAATGACTTGATAATAGGCAAAAAAACCCCACCAGCCCTAGCAGTAGTGCTAGGCATCGCAGGCGCAATAAGCACCTCACTAAGTGTCAAACCATAAGACAATCCTAAAGTACTCTTCCCTAGCCACTTAACAAAGTAAGTAGCAATCCTATCACCTAATCCAGTCTTAACAAAACCGCGAGCAAAAAAGAAAGAAATGACAATCAACCAAATAACTTCATTAGTAAAAGCACTAAAAGCAGTCGTAAATGACAAAGTTCTAGTAACAAGTAACGTTGTTAAACCCAAAAAAGCCCATGCCGCAACTGGCAAAGGACTTAAAATAAGACCGGCAATAGTAGAAAGGAAAATAGACAACAATTGCCAGGCTTGTGGGGTAATTCCTATTGGTTTAGGCACAGCAAACCTTACAATCAAGCCTATAGAGACAGATATCAAAAGGGGTATCAATTTTGCTCCCTTTTGAGGTGGGGTTGGTTTTTCTGACGAGTATGATAACGGGTTGTCACTGGATTTTGTGTCCAACGCGAGAATTCTATATTTCGAATCGAAGGTTTTGTTTCTAGTGTGAAATGCAGAGAAAAGGAGAGGTTTTTGAGCGGATGATCTGATGGTGGAGAGTGAGGGAATGGATGGTGAGGATTTGGTAATGGAGAGTGGTTTAGGTAATCTGTGGAGTAGGGAAATGCGGGTGCAGAGAGAGGTGGAGAAGGTGGTTGTTGTTGTTGTTGTGCTGGTGGAGAGAGAGTGGAGGGCAAAGCTCTCCATTTTCACTCTGTTCCTTTGTGTTTTCTATGTAACAGAGATTGGAAGGGAGAGATATACAGGGAGGGTGGGTGGGGGTGTGGTTTGGGAGCGGAAACTACAAGGATAGTTGTTTGTGTTTGACGTGTGAGGAGGGAAATTATCGGAAGCCACGAAGGCCACAAGATATGAGATGTTACTGAGGGCCTTTCATTCTTTAAATTTTCTAGTATGAGAATGGAGAATGGACATGGTTTACAAAGGATTCTTGAGGCTGTTCATGTCTTATGCATGGTTATAAAATTAAACTTGACTACTTTGGAACAGTGTCTGGGTAACTGATTGAAAGGGTTAAACCCGATTGAATCGAAAACATTTAAGATCAAATGTTGTCTCACATCATTTACAAAGGCTTTTTGAAGTTATTCATGTCTTCTATGGCTACTCCATAAAAACAAATTTAAAAATCCTTGTATTCTAGATTTTAAGCAGGTATTTTTCTTTATTAAGAGTGTTAATTTAAGAAATTATCTCTTCTCCATAGTTTTGAGGTTTATAATTTCCATTAGTGTGTATATGTTTTTTAAAAGGATTTTTTCTTACTATACACTATCTCACCAATCATTTTATTAGTTTTACTATAGCTTTATTTATTATTCATTCTCTTATCCTTTATTTTGGATTGGAGTGGTGATTTTTTAAAAAAAAATTAATTTGATTTATAAATTTTTATTTTATACAATTAAACTCTTTTGAACCCAAATTAGCATTCAATTACCTTAAAAGTGCCTAAAATATAAATATGAGCTTAAGAAATTTTTTAGTTTTAAGTTGATTTTAGATTTGAGATGGCTTTTTATTTTTTATTTTTTTAAGGTCATAGATTGTTTAACATAGATTCCTAAATTATTTTCTTGATATTTTGGGTTATAATGCAAGAAAGGTTGGTTTTAACATAAAGTTATTATTTGCATAACTTTTTTAAAAAAATAAGCATGAATAGTAAAGCTAAAGCTAGTATTTTTAAATTTCTTTGAGATTGATAGGTGTATCACATATATGGTTGGTATAAATGCACTTGATGTGTATATTTTAATGTTCATATGTATAGATGATGTGTATATTTTCTATTATAATATAAGAGCTTTAGTATCTTAACTAAGATTCTAAACAAATTAGAATTTTAATGCAAGAAATTGCCTCTTGTCAATAAAATCAAGGTATCTAGTTTTAAGAGTAAACAAGTATCTTTGATGTGAAATCAACTCTCGGCAAGATCTCAAAAATTGTATTAAAATTTTAATCAAATATTTAAATTGAATATGTATTTAAAATGTAAAATGATTTGTTGTTTCATTAGAAATAATGGTATGAATGTTTAGAAGTTTATTTAAGTTAATAAAAAAATATTATAAATATTTAGTTGAATTTAACAAGGATGTTTGATTTTGATGGAAGTAATAAAAAATAAATCGAATTTAGATAAGTAGTTTTAATTTAATAATTCCTGTTATAAAAAAATAAAAAGCCGTATCATGAAATTCAACTATTAATTAAGTTAAAATGAATTACAAATCATTTAATTACAAGTGTTGCACATTATTAAGGTTTAGAATTATCTTTTTCGAAACAAAACTTGACAAAATTAATATAGCGATAACTGCAAAGAAAAAAAAAATACTCAATAACATAATAATAATAATAATAATAATTCATAAGTGACATAACCAGGAGTCCATCAATTCACCATAAGTAAAAGTTTTCCGACTGAATCTGCAATTTGATCCAAATTAATTAATCAAAGGCACGTGCATTATGTTAATATGTTAATGTCGATTATGTGCATCATCATCTTCAGAACTTGGTCAAAGTTAATAATTCAAGCTGCCTGGTCCAAGATACAGGTCTTGAATGAGTTGATTTAAATTAATTTAAATCTTCATCATTTCAAAATTTAAAAAAAAAAAATAATATCTTTTAATTTTAACGAGATTATAAATTATTTATGCAAATTCTCATATAATTTAATTTGATATCCAATCCAAGTCGGATCCTAAATTAACATATGATCAAATTAATCATTGAACTGTATACATATGTATGTATATGACTCATTTAAATAACAAAATAACCTTCCTCAGATAACAAATAAAAACGTAATTTTAAAACTTAAAGGGGCATAAGTAAAAATAGAAGGAAAGAAGACTTAACTTGCACGATAAAGAATCCAAGTTATTGGTTGGTCAACTCAAATCTAATCGGTTAAAACCCGGCCAATCTGTTGATTTTTTTTTTTTGTTAAGACAAGATTAGTCAAAGTAACATTGTTTGGATTTAAAAGAAAAATCAACCGTTGACTGGTGATATATATGACGAATAAAAACGTCTTGCATGGCAAAAGGTCAAATCATTGTCAAAGGAGGAGAGTGGCGGTCAAAGCAAGCATGTTAATCATGCAAGGCAACTTAAGAGCCTCCGAAATGGCGTGACTTGTGGGCCCGCCACTTACAATCTTTTTGATTAGCCACATTTCAGTCAGTGGATAGGGACACAGATCAGAATCAACGTCCAATCACACGGCTCTTATGCTTTTTCTAGGCCTCACTTCGGTTTTTGGATCAGTTGTTGCGGGAGTACCTTGCTACGTCATACGGCTGCTGTGATTGGCCAAATATTAACAAGTAGGACGGACTTCTTTATTTCTTTCTCAGAGTTTCCACCTCAGATATTATCCGAAGCCTACGTGTATATAGTTATGATTGAACTTTAAAGTATTTTTTATTTAAAAATATATTAAAATAATATTTTTTATTTTTAAAAATTATTTCAAAAATAAATATAGATTAAAAATATTTAAAAAATTATTTTTAATAAAAAATTAATTTTTTTTAAATAACCGCATTTCAAAACAAGATAAGATTTTATGAATTTTCTTTAAAAAATAGCTATCACCGGTGTAGCAATCAGATTGCATGTGGCGGCCCTTCCGTCAGTGACACCGTCGTGTGTGGTGACCATTTCATGAAATTGCATGGCACACATTTTCATGTCTTGTTCTTGCTAAGACGAGCTATCCTATTGCACAAAAATATTCTATCGTCTACCTACCAACCACAACATAGCATGACCACATAAAAAAAATAAAAAACTTTTTATTTTTTATCTCAACAATTACATAGTAGAAGTTGAAAGTCGAATCTTTCCTACATTTTTATTTTTATTTTTAAAATATAAAAACTTATTTTAAAATTGTTTGAAAAATAAATTTATTTTATATCATTTTTATGTATTCAATCAAATATGCTATTATCCTTTATTTTTTTTATTTGTAACACTAACCCAACAAGAATCTGGAATACAGACATATCTTTGTATTAAAGAGATTTGTAGCATTGATACTTTAAAATAATTAAAATATATATTATAAAATTTTTAATCAATTAAGTCCATATTCAATCCACCTGGACTGTGAGATTTTTCAAAGTGGACGATTATTAATGTACTTATCACCATGGAAGTTTCAAATTTGTTTGCTTTTCCAGTACTTAGAATTTAATTAATTGTTTATTCTTTAAATTCATGCCCAAATATTAAGGATATTTGGGCATGAATTTAATAATTAATTTGCTTGTGGATTAAATAATTTCACATTAATAAAAATACATTAAAAGTCAAACAAGATGTCTTTAAACGATCATCAAATAATACAAGTCAAACAATGCCCTTATTTTCTATTCTAAAACATTTGTATTTTACAAACATGTTTTCTTAACATTTTTTAAAACAAATAGCAAAACTATAGATTAAAACCAAAAAATTATTTAACAAAAATAAACATCATTATTTCTAAGATTGTGTTTAGTTGGTGTCCTGTAAAAATAAACAAAAAGAAAAGAGAAAAAAATATATTTATTTATAAAATAATTTTTTAAAATATTTATATTTTTAAAATAAAAATACAAAGTAACATATTATTTACATCGTGTGTCTCTATATGTTATGTTAGACTGTAACTAAACATTATTTAGATATTTAACTTCAATAAAAAAAATATTTAAAAGAGTAGTTGTAGTTGCTTTTTAAAGTGTTATTTTACTTGAAAATACATCAAAATAATATATTTTTTATTTTAAAAAAATATTTTTAATATCAATACATCAAAATCATCTAAAAATATCAACAAAAATATTAATTTAAAAAAAAATTTAAATTTAAATTTTTTTTAACATTTTTAAAACATAAAAATAAACAAAACCAAAGTAATGCATTCCTACTAGCATTACCCAACTCCTTTTCAATTTGCTAAAAAAAATAAATAAATATTTGGGTGCAATATTAGTCACCTTCTTGAATGCCTTGAATAATGTATAAAAAAAAAAACTAATTTAGATAACGTTGTAAATGTGTTAAATATAATTTGTATTTTAATTTGTTGATATTAATAATAATTTTTAAAAAATAATTAAATAACTATCATATAAATGTGTATGTACTAAATCCTATTTATGACTAACAAATGAATATTCAACTTGCCCAAAAAAAGGACACTTCCGAATACCAAATCCCAATTTCCAAAAAAAAAAAACATTAACCCATGACATAATACCATTGGTTGGTGACATGTATACCACGTCACCTGCGGGTAAAAACCTTACTCGTGCGCTTACAATTCGCCGTTGCTTCCTTCTTGAAGACCTTCTCTTTCTTAATTCTTACTTCTTCAATTTTGCCTCCCCCTCTTCCTGTTTTCAATATAAATACTAGCCAAAGAGAGACCCTTTTATCTTAAAAGATCCATAGGTATAAAATCTTGAGCTTCTTTTTACTTTTTATTTTTAAATGGCTTCTTTTAATGTTTCTTCTTGCCCTTCAACTACCACAAGAGCAGCTCTCTCTGGCTCCCAGTAAGTTTTTATTTTTTTTAATGTTTTGGGGGTTCTTTTAATGGCTTAGCATGTTAAAGTTTTCTACTTTTGATTTTGCTTGCTCTTTCATATGGTAAATGGTTCCTTTGTTTGATTTACATTTGTTTTGAATGATAAATGGTTATCCGTTTTGGTTGTGCTATCTGTATTAGCGGTGTTTGGATCAGTTGACCCTTTGTGTTTGATTTTATTTTTGTG